TCTCCTTTCTCCTTTTTAAAAAACACAACCAAGCCCGCAGACACCATTACCCCAGCTGAGAAGTGCCTAAAATAAATTTCTGCTTCAGCTGCTCAATTAAAATACATGTATATATATTTTCATCATCTTTTACTTGAGATAAAACAAAACATTTTCTGAAGACTCGGGCCTATAAACACAAAGTGTAGGTTTTCTAGGTGCTAAAGCCTGCACCTGAAGCCTGTGTGCCTATTGCCTTCTAGAAAAGCAGCTATCCACCGCGTGGATATGATCCGCAGCGTTCCCACATTGTGCGCTTTGAAAGCCATCCCCGGCCACCTTGTGGCAGGGGAGCAAGGAGCAGGGTTGGGATTTCAGGTCCCCGTTTCCCAGCCCGTCCCTGTGCAGCTGCCTGGAGCAGAGCCGCAGCCCAGGCCCCAAGCTGCTGCCTCTCCCTCGATCCACTTGGACACTCCATCCCTGTACCGAGCTCCTTGGGGATGGAAAAGAAACCCACCATCAGCCTCCGTGCCGTGGATGAGCTGCCAGGACAGAACAAACCCACTCGGAAGGAACTTCCATGAAATATTCACACCAAAGTCATTAAAATTTAATGAGCTGGGGAGGCAGGACGGGAACGCCACTGCTTCACACAGCGACTTTCACCAAGGAAGCCAGGGCCGGGCAAGCACCGGGGGAGGCTCTGGATGGCCCCTTTGCAACGCCAGGCCTGAGATGGGAGAGTAAAACGACTCTGTCAGGGCTGGGGCTGCTTTGGTTTTATTTATTCTTTTGCTCAAATGCTGTGAGAAGGTGATGACTGACTGCCTCAGTGGAGGCACAGTCGCGGATTAAACCAGGAAGTCTCGATGAGGCTCTCTGGTCCCAGGTTGTGTCAAGGTGAAACTGCTGCCTCGTTACCTCACTGGCAGCAGCCATGATAGTGAACTGCTGATTTTTCAATTAAAAAAAATACATATATCACTCAGATAATTATTAGATGCTACCGACTTCTTAAAAATAAACCACAAAATAGTGCGAGCACTATGCTGGCTCCAGGGATGTTTTTGATTGTGGTAACAGTGGTTTGGGGGCTGTATTTGAGGAGCCGTTTTCTTGCGACTCAGAAAGTATCAATTTCTCTCCCTCTGTCTATATATACATACAGTAACATTATTTTCCCCTGAGAAAAATTCCCAGTGCTGGCTCAGTGATCAGATATAGTTACACATTAATTCTTCAGAAGTTTCTTGAAAACCATCGGAAGCAGGTGAAAAAACAAAACGCCTTGAACTTTCGCCGTGGGCTCGGGCCCTGCGAGTTCCCGGGCCGCCCTCGGCTCGAGTCGGCTCGCAGGCCACGCCGGGGGCCGCATCCTGTTGCGCTTTGATGCTCTCGTTCGGCCACTCGCTATTTCCCCTGCCGCCAGACGAGGGCTTCCTGCCTGCGCCGACCCCTTCCCAACCCGGCGGGCGCCTCCAGCCCCTGCTCGCGTTGGCGCCGGGACACGGCCTCCTCTGAGGCGCAGAGGTGACGGCCCCGCGCAGCAGCCATGTTCGGCCAAGCTCCGGCTTGGAAGAACGAGCAGGAGCATCCCGGGGATGGGGATCTGCTCCATGGGTGCTCCCTGTCATCTCAGAATCACAGAATGGTTGATGTCGGAAGGCACCTTTAGAGATCATCTAGTCCAACCCCCTTGCTCCAGCAGGGACACCCAGAGCACGTGGCACAGGGTGGCATCCAGGCGGGTTTGGAAGATCTCCACAGAAGGAGACTCCACAGCCTCTCTGGGCAGCCTGTTCCAGGGCTCTGTCACCCTCACAGGAAAGCTCTGTCTCACATGGAGATGGAACTGCCTGTGTTTCAACTTGTACCCATTAGCCCTTGTCCTGTCACTGGCTTTCACCGAGAAGAGTTCGCCTCCATGCCGACCCGCCTGCATGTCCGAGCGCCTGGAGGCGACGTGTCACTCACGGGCTACATGCAGGAAGGGTGACTTTTATACAAGCACTTGCACAGCTTTGCAGAAAACCCGGCGTGTTTTTTCTAGTAGTACCTCAGTATATTGCAGCAAGCTTTTGCTAGCACACTTCAAAGACCAACAGACTGCAAAGGCAGTTACGAATTGCTCAGGGAGAGCACTGAGAAATGGAGCCCACAAATATCACTTTGGGGCACGGACTGAACAAGTGGAGCCTGAGAGGGAGCTGGTGAGATGGGGCAAACCTACCTACCACTATAGGTGAGCGTTTTAAAGACAGCACTGTTTTCTTTAAAAAGCAGGTCAAAAAGTCAGCACAAAATAAAGGTGATCCAGAAAAGCCTTCTGGCCACAGGCATGGTGAGGAGGTAGGAAGAGCCGTTACAGGTCACAGAGCAGGTGCTCCCAGCCCAGCATCCTCCCCGTACCTGTCGTGGCCACAGGGGAGCAGCAGAAGAGCAGGGCGAGGGGGCAGCGATGCCTCCCGGGACACCGAGTCCGGAAGCTTCTTAAGCCCAAGGCGATGGTTTAACTGCGTGCACAGGATTTTTGCTCCTGTGAAGCGGCTCACTTTCTCCCTGAGCCCTCGCGTGCACCCGCAGCGCACGGAAAGGCAGCTGCAACCCCACACTGAGCCCGCGCGTGGGTTTTCCATGATGCCTGCCGGCCTCATAGGAGGCCTTTCCCGACGCACCTTCCCCACCACCTGTGACTTGCTGCCTCTTGCTCCCTTCTGTGCTGGAAAATTCATGTGTTTCTAACAAATCAGAACATATTCCTTGGGCTTAATCATTCTTGTGACCCTTTCCTCTAACTTTCCTAACTCTGTAAAGAGCCTTTGGAGATCAGGGAAGCAGAATTGCAGTACGCTAGAATGGATAAAGCATGGATTAGACAGTGACATAAATCACGTTTCCCGCTTTGCTCGCATTGGTTTCCTACTAATGCCAAGTGTTCAGCCTTTCTGACTGCTCTTGAGCAATGGGCTGCAGCTTTGGAAGAGCTCTGTCATACCTTAACATCCTATTTTTCACTGGAAGGACTGACAAATAGGCATTTATCCACACTCTCTTGGATAATACTCTTAATCCTGCTGCAGGGTTTAAGTTAACAGATGAGACGACTCCTGAAAATCCCACTCAGCATTAGGCCCTTTCTATGGTGTTTTAAGCACGGGACGCTTGAGTAGCACACCGAGTAGGGGCTCACTTCTGTACCTTCACATGCTGAAACTCTTAAATCTAGACAAAAAGCAGCAAAATAAAGTAAAATAAATAAAAGCCTGATTCAACTTTTGGAATCAACTTTTGGTTCCACACCTTGTTTTTCCTAGCGTTGCTCCCAGGAGAGTTTCAGATACCCCCGTGAATGTGAAGCGGTTCCCGTCATTGACATGCAGAGCACAGCGCATTGCTTCAAACCGCCGACATCCTGAAACTCGGAGCACCGGCTGAGGCTTGGAAACACTTTTCCCAGCAAGGTCAGCACACTGATTTACATGCCAATACCCGCAGTGTTAGCTATTTTGTATCGGGAGTCGCGTCTCGGCCTGCGGAATGCTGCGAACAGCCCCAGTACCTCAGCCTGGGAACAAACATGTTTTTCCTGTGCTGAAAAGATGGGGAGAGAGGGAATGGACAGGAGAAAAGCTCAGGGCTGTCCTCGGCAGTTGCGCAAGATACAGCAGCACAAAGCAGCCTGGCAGCAGATCCGTGCCCTGAGCAATCCCTTGCTCCATGGGGACACAGTGCTGCAAATCCCCCTCTCCAGCCGCGTCACTCCTCTCTCCCACTGGAGGCACCAAAACAGCGGCCGGCACCAGCAGCCAGGGCCAGAGCTAGGCACAGGTTTTTCCTTCGGGGATTGATCCCGAGCGGCCCTGCAACAGGACTACCACGATCGGAGGCTGCTTTGACCTCATAAAACCAGAGGGCATAAAAGCAGAAGGGCACGAGCTAGGAGATCTCAAGCTGCTTCACCAAATGAACCAGAAATGAATCTCATATACGTTTAAAGCATTTTATCTATGTTTCTATAGCAAGCCATGCTTCTCTTGGAAAATGTTAGTGACCCACAGAAAGAAAAAAAAAAAAGAGAGAAAGATTAAAAGCAGCTGTACTGGAGAAATCACTAGATTTAAACACTACCGCTATTTTAAATATCCAACAAGGAGTCTCCCTGGAGAGGACTGACAGCGTGGGATGGAGTCAAGCACGCTCTTGCTTAAGCAGGGTCATATGAATTCTGCGTGAGTCTGAAGGGATAGCCGTGGTATACGTATAGACATAAGAGATGTATATAGATGTATAGTCATAAGAGATGTATTAGCACTAATGCCTTGTGTTTGGATGTAGCCACTAGGTAGCCACGGAGGAAGGAGAGGCCCTTTGTGATGCTTGGAGTGTGACCGATGAGGTGACCTAGTGGACATAATGAAATCTGGAGCACTCAAACAGTAGTAAGACAACGTTGCAAAGATACTGGTTTGCTACTGTAGCTCTGAAGAGAGGAAAA